ACTTGAAAAATTTGAATTGAGTGAGGTATCATGTGGGACCGACCCACTTAAGTGACTTAAGCCACTCACACCCATCAACCATTATTCATCATCTCCTTCCCTCTTCTCCCTCTCAAAATCGTGACATGTATCTTCAAAGGGGGAGATCTTTGCTCCTTCAAAACCTGATCAAAACCACTCACAATCTACATGAAACTTCAAGGAAATTGTCCAATGAATCCAACCCACACCTCAATTCCTCTTGAAAACCCCCAGATTGTGAGATATCCTTTACCCATTCCCACGAAAATTTGATGACATTGCCACCATTGGAGCTTGTTTCTTAAGTCATTGCTTGGGTATTGTTCTTAGGGATCTTGGACATTGATTCTTGGTAAGTTTCACCACCTATGGTTGTTTAATCTTTGAGATCAATTGTGAAGACCTAAGCTATGTGTGGCTTGATTGATGTAGTTTGGGACCTCAAATTTAATTTGTGCATTATATAAATGTGTCTTAGAATGATGATTTATGATGATTGAGCTCATAAAAATTATTGTGAAAAAGTTTGTAACTTAGTGGATTTTTTATGATGATCTTGAGATCTTGTGAAATTGGATTGTTGTATGATCGAGGAATGAGTTGTGGATTAGTTGTATTAGTTAATTACAAGGTGTATGGTGTGTTTGATGTGTGAAAAATGAATTGAGAACCCTTGGATATGTCTATGCATAAATTCGGCCAAGTAGGTGAAATTAGGAAGAGATGATGCAAAAATTGTGTAATTGAACTTGTGATGATTGGAACCAAGTTTAAGTGGATTGTATGAGTGTATGATGCTTTGAGTTTGTGAGAAAAACCCCTAGCCATTTGGTTGTCTTGGATTCGGCCATATAGGGTAATTGAGGAGAAAATTGTGCTAAGTATGATTAAATGCAATTGTGAGCTTGGTATAGTGTTGTGATAGGCTAAGAAAGCCATAGGAATAATGAAATGAAATTAACAACATGAATTATGTAAAAAAAAGCCACGATGGCCGAATTGTATGATTGTGGGGGGGGGGGGCAATTCATTGTCTTGTATTTTGACTTGTTTAACAAGTTAATTGATGATCCTATGTTGTGATCATTGTAGGTTGCCTCCCACCAACATAATCCTTGAAGATTGAAGCTTGGAGGTTTGGGATTGCCTTTGGTCCTTGACCAAAAGGATATTGGTAAGTGATTGAGTCACTTTTGCATGATTGCTTGAATGACCAATTGAGTGGTCTTTGTGGTACTAATGGACATGGAAATGACCTTTTGTGTAGGCATTTCTTGGTTGGAGAAAGTTACGGGCTAACTTGTGTTTGAAGCTACCTAGTTCGGGAGCTTCAAAAAGGTAATCTATTAGTACTGGGGTTCTCCGTGTGTGCTCTACCATGCTCATTGGGGTAGTAGTTGGAAGTTGTTTGATGCAATAGTGTAATTATAACATGATCATGCATATGTTGATGTTTGGGTGCATAGAGTTGTACTGTATCTCTGGCTAGTAGATAGTTGTCGTATGCCGTAGGGGACTTCCACTGGAGAGGCCTCCGTAGGGAGTTCTAGTTGGCCTAGGGATGCAGAGATATTATCCGTTGAGGAGCACTCTAGGAATGTCTCGGGAGTTATAGTTGGGGGCGCCTTGAATGATGTTCCGGGAACACATTCTTGGCTGAGAGCCCGTTTGTCGTATGCCGTAGGCCATTGTGTCGGATGATTGTATGATATATGTATAGTGCATTATTGTTATTTCAGATCTGAGTGAGTTATTGGGCGGAGTGATTCTCCAAAACTTTTGGATTACTGAGATATATTCGTTTATCTCACTACGCGTTATGAGACTATATTTCTAGTGATTTTTGTGGTGCCGGGATCTTGGGCAAGAGGGACTGTAAATAAATGTAATATAAATGTAATATCTGACTAAAAAAACTAAATGCAGTTTCATATTGCTAATTTGAAGTGTCAAATTACATGAAGCTAATTATTTAAGAGTAAATAGATTTTTATTCAATTACTAGGATATCGGAGGATGTACAACAAATGCCGTAACTTAAATTCCCTCCTAAAATTTTTATATAATGGGTAAGAAATTATTTTAGCATAAAGAAAAAAAAAATTGTTTGCTAATAAAAGGGTCGCAAAAGTTCACCAAAAAAAAAAAAAGGTCGCAATTGACAAAGAGAATATAAACAGAGAAAAAAAAATTAAAAAGGAAAAGCTTTAAATTTCTGGTGGGGGGAAACAATAATAGTATCACCAAATTATATAAAGAAAGAAGCTAAATTGATTATCACAAATTTTCGTACAGAAGAAGCATAGTGTACGGTTAGCTTCCATTTGATTGTCAAAAGTTTTCGCTATTCGTAGAAAGAAGCTAAATTGATTATCACAAATTTTCGCACAGAAGAAGCATAGTGTTCGCTATTATAAACTCTTTCATTTTTTACTAGTTGTTCAATGTGAGATTTTTTAAATTCACACACCCTTTCAATTTCTTTTTTTTCTTTTATTCCTTAACTCACTTCTTATTCATAACTAATAGATTATCAACATAAATTTCAACAATTAGCTCCATTTCAATCGTCTACACATTCAACAGACAAACTTCAAAAATCATATTAGCTGGAACTATTCATATTTCGTAATTTTCAAAACCAAAAAAAATATCGTTAAATTAAATGCTCGCTTGCTCTCTCACAAAAACGATATAAAGTAAATTTTTGTTTTAAAAAAAAATCCAAATTTACGGAGAAAACAAAATTAGCTCTGTAATCAATTGGAAGATACCGTGTGGAAACCAAAATGTAGCTGGCTAAATGTCAGTACTTTGGTAGTGAGATATGCATATGTAATCAATTTGAAGATACCGGACCTTAATGATTATTCATGTTTGATCTAATAGCATCCACTTGGAGTGATATCTCTATTAACTATTTTGTCTCGATTATACTTTTCAGTGATTGACACTAATACAGCTGTTTTCCCATCATTAACACAACACTCTGATCGTAATATCAAATGATGATAGTTCAGTTGATGTTAAAAAATTAAGCAGATAAGGTGAGAGCACATGTTCAATCCTTCCAATACTGTCTTTCGAAGAGGTTTAAAGTCTTAATCTCAGGACCCGTCCTGAATTGGACTAATCGCGAAACAATGAACAGATTAAAATATCTCTATATAAATAAATAAAAACACTGTGAGCATAATATTACGGGTTACTGCACAATTGCTAAAGTTGCTAACTTTAAGATGGTATTAATGTTTATCTCTATAAGCAAGACAACCATCAAGCATTTCTGTAAAATCCAGAAGCATGGTATATGTGTATGACTATCACCAAGGCTAGCTAGATCTTGTAAACTATAGAATGAAAAATATTGTCTTAATTTTAAAGTAAATTAAAAATAGCTCCTGCATTATTTTTTTTAAATCTTATCTTTGAATAATTAAGTCAAAATTTTATCCAACAGAAGTGTTAGACAAAACTCAAGCACCTAAAACTTCACTTATTAAGGTTACAAACTTGCAGAAAAATAAATTGACCAGAATTAGAAAGGCATCTAGGAGGTTTTTTTTTTTTTTAAACATCTAGGAGGCTTTTAAATTGGACCATAACTTCCCTATTTGTCAGAAACATTCAAAAATTAACCGATGGTAAGTTTCATTCCGAATCCTGCTTCAGATATTTCTATTTTTTGATTGCCTAGTATTTATGATCATTGTCACACGTGAAAAACGAATTTCTCATGGAATGTAGAACTGACTTTTGATGTAAAATTAAATAATTAATGAGAATCCTTGACAGAATTTAATTACGAAGAATTATCATTTTGTACTTGATCATAATAAAACTATAATTATTCATTGAATTGACCAAAGAAAAATCTCCATCGGCAGAGACACAATCTCCGTCCGCATAGTTGGTAGATAGTTGGGTTCTTTAAATATGCAGGTTCGATTTCTTGCCGTGTGTATAGAAAATGATTTGTTGGGAGAAGTTGTATTTACGATTGCGTGATCTCTCCGCCTCTAGGAGATTAGTCCTTGGCTTTCGACTGGGAGATACCATTGTAACAATTTAAAAAAAAATAATTTATATTCCTCATCTTACGCTAACTAATTTGGCTTGCACCACATAGGCTATATATGGCTTAAAATACATTGTATAAAATTGGCTGTAATGTAATTTGCATTTGTTGTATGAAACTATTTTGTATGTGTGTGTGCGCGTGAGAGAGAGAGAGAGAAAGTGAGTGTTTATGAACAGTCATGCTATCTTAAGTCCTTATGAACAGTTAATTTTGATAAAAGCTACAGTACACGATTCTTACACATAAATATGAAACAAATAATTATGGATGACCTTCAAAACATGCAACCAATTTAATATTGGTTGGAGAAAAGAAAATGGAGTATTTATCTCAATCTGTAGGGTCTTTCATGAAAGTATCAACCCCTTCCTGTTTTCAGCACCGTTTGTCCCATAAATAATGGAAAACCTTACCCTCTTGGAAAATTAACTAAGATAACATACCAACTAATGGAAGAGAGCATTTTTGGTTCTACCGTCGCACTAAATGTTCAGTGCGTGCGACGGTCATATTTGCACTATATATTTCTAAAAATACATAGGATAAATATTTATATTATGTATTTCCGAAAATACATAGTGCAAATATGACCGTCACACTGAACACTCAGGTTGACGGTAGTATATTAAACTTTTTCCTAACGAAACCTAACAAAAATTAGTACTAGAGATAACAATAACTTCTCTTTTCTTTGAGAATTAATGTTAAAAGGAGAAAGTTTGCATTGTTTTTTTTATGCAAAGAGAGTCAATCTATCTTCCATTACACAAGGGTGTGATATCCAGATGATGAAACTATAAAACAAACACATTGGCTTGTTCATTGTGCTTTTGCAATTCTTAATTGTAAATAAAAGCATTACAATTACGAGAATCAACACTCTTTACATAGTGGCAGATCATAGAGATAATCTTAGCTCCAAATCTGGTTCTTGAGTGTCACTTGATTCAGAGTTCCGACTGCTTGAGCCCACGGAGCCACTTCTATGCTTCTTGGTATCTATGTGTTGTGAGTCCTAATTATAGAAGCAAACATAATGAAGGTCATTTTGTATTGGATGCACCAAATATATCTTTTGTGCGTGGAATATCAACTGAGATACATTTTTGAAAATGATTCCTTACATATAGGTTAAGTAAGGGTCTAGTTATGGTGGGTTGAGCAATGGCATTAGCATGTTCCCATCTGGTTTGTGATAAAGAATTAAACATATCAACAAGGAATTCATCATGCCAAATAATTATAGAACAATATCAGAATAAACAAAAATCCAACATGCATAAACACATATATATTGCTTCTCATCAATGACAAAGGATCTAGTAGAGCTGGATGATTTAAGTACCTTGTTGTATTAGTTGGCTGAGAATCTCCATATGTGATGTTTGTTGTTTCATATTCGGGTAGACCCATCTGCACAAGTAAACAATGTTGTCCGAATTCAGAATCCCCCAAACTCATTCTTGCCATATATATTACTACACTCCAATGAGCATGTTACAAAACAAGAGAATTATTATTTGTAAGTTTCTGTTGCAGCAATAGATGTGAGAATCAATTAGCTAACTGTAATGAAAATGATGATTTCAATAACAGTATTGGCTCTTCTAATTAATTCTTATGATTTTGATATTTTTCAGCTAGCAGAACACACAATTCATCCCTTATTACCTAGGGTTAGTATTACCCTTGCACTTTCATTTGTAGACTTAATTAGTTGAGATTCAAAAAGATGATTGCTAGGGTTATGCTTTATGAACTTTTCAATAATAAGAAGATAAATATCAGGTCATATCATAGCCACAAAAATAAAAATTTGAAAATACAAGGGGTAGAAAAATTAAACAGCCATCTTAATTTCTTTGGGGACAATTACATGCCACTTGCATATATAGTGTTTGCAGTTGTAACAACTAAGTCATGAAAAATGACAATTGTGAAAATATGTGTGGAACATGTTCACACTCATCACAAAAAGAATGAAAACGAATAAGTTGAATATGGTACAAGTGAAAAACAAATAGTACAAGAGTAAAAGTGTGAAATCAATTGGGATTGAAGAAAAGCCAAAATTACACATACCACAATGTTGGGTTGGAAGCCATATGAAGCCGAGTATGATGTCGATGAAGAAGAGTAAGAAAAAGATGATGATGGCAATGATGAATATGGTGTTTGAACTCTTGGATCTTCCTACATGTTCATCCGAAACAAAACTTCATCAAATTCCACAAATCCAAGTAAAGAAAAAAAAAAAGTGTTAGTTTTGAGCAAAGGGAGATAAAAATGGAGAGACTTACATTATTGAAATTAGATGTGTAAGGGCCTTGTAGAGGAGGATGATAACCACAAGCTATTTGACCATGTAATCTTATTTTCTCTAATTGAGCAACACCTAATCCTCTTTGTGGTTGCTTTGGTTTATCTTGATTGTTCTTCTTCCCTTTCCTTGAAGAAGAAGATCCACTTGCTCTATCATTTCCCATGTTTGGCTCTCCAAAATAACTATTATTTTCCATGTTTTTCTCTCTTTTTTCTTTGCAAATCCCGGAAGAACTGCTCCCACTTTTCTGGCTGGAAAATCAGAGATCTCTTTTAAGTTGCTGCTAGCAACCCAGGAATAATTGCATAGCTGGATGAGATTGTGTATAGATTTCAATCTTATGTTATATATATACGCCTAGATTCTATGCTCTTTTATCTCTCTTCCTCTTCCCTATAGCCTCTATTTTTCTTTGATTATTATATTAATAATGATTACATTATTTATTAGTTTTCTACCCATTTGTTATACGGACTTTGGAGACTATCTCTGAAAGCGATTGTCTCTCATTTAATATGTTAAATAAGTTGTATTGGTAGGCTGTGTGTTGCCACGCGCCACAAGTAGGCTCCAAGTGCAACTTTTTTTATTTATTTTATTGTGCATATAATATGGCTTATTGAATATATGCATTGTTTTTTATATAGATGTTTGCTCAAACTTTCTTTCCATTAAAAAAATTGATTGGTGTATGCTACGCTATATATGCCGAGGATGATGATGATCATGAGGTTGGCATTTCTCAGTCTCTCTCAGCAATCAGCATATATAGCATTCGAAAGGGGCATATAGTTAATTAATTAATTGTCCTTGATACTTCTCTATTTGATTGGTTTTTTTAGTGCACTTTTATATAAGATTGTTTTTTATTACACTGATCAAAGTAGATTACAAAGCTTTGCGTGTCTAGAAAAAAAAAAAAGTATAAAAAGATAACAAAACCTTAAGTAGGTTCCACTTTGCATGTGGTTTCCTTGTTCTCGGTCAATTTGTCTCAGCTGATAGTACCCTGAAGGGACTGAACTGAAAAGCCCCAGCTGTAAAATTCCATATAAGTAACTTACTAAGAAGGAAAGTAAATTAAAATTTGTAGTCAATAATTTAAACATTAAATAATGATTGGTCCAATTAGGATTGAGTTAGATCACATACAATTTTGTTTTAGATAAACCACATGTATCTCTTATGGGAGGCAATCCTGTTTGGGACAGGTATAAGATTAAGGCTTTAATCCCCTCTCAAAGATGGTATTGGGAGGATTGAGACCATGTTCTCACCTCTATCTGCTCAACTTTCATACACCAATTGATTTACCATCATTTAATTAGATCACACAGTTGAATATGGTCCAATAATTTCTTGGTCTTTGCAAGAATGGGTATTGTAGGAAAATATCTTCAGTACTACGGGAGTGTTGAAAACTCAGTGCATCATTTACTTAATTTGATAAAAATAGTATATTTTTTTACCATTTTACCCTTCCATGTATGGTTATTTTCCCCTAAACCATCACAATTTTCTACTTTTAATAAAGGAGTACATACTCCAGTAGTACCAAAGATGTGCTCGTATTGTAGAATGATGACTATGTGGGATACTTTGCGAGATGGAGAATATGGTGTTGGATGTTTTGATTAGCTAGGACAAAAATGGATGTACAAGCCAGACACTCTTACAATCAAGTTAGTATGTGAACTATGAGCTTAAGTCAAGATTCATGATCATAACTGGGCTTTAAATCTCTGTTATATATAATAGTTGATTGTTTTGCTTATGCGGCCCAGGCATTCATCTTCGTTGGTGGGCTGGGGTGGCTAATGCAAGCTATCTCATGTGCAAAATGTTTATTTGTGGATTACGTCTTATGGTGTAGCTTGAACCAATGCATGTACCTTAGCCATTGGCTTTTAGCTATAGAGTCATCGGCTACTGATACCGCATGGCTGTAGAGTCTTGAGCTGCTAATGTTTGTCGTGTGTTAGTATTCCTGGCATGCTATCTACACACGATGGGCATGTTTCCTTAGCATTTATGTCTTAACTATTGGGCCTCTTGAGTTATTCATAAACCGGGTCATATATCCCGTGTGGGTTTGATCCAGATCAAATAATAATATCAATGTGGGACCAAATTTGTACTAATTATAAAGGCAAAATATTTATTATTATAAAAAAGAAAGATATTATATTTACAACCTCTTACAATCAAATCTTAACCATTGATTTCCTCCAATCTGACGGTTATAATTTATTGGGTCACATTTATTAATTAATTATTAATTTCCAATAAATTATAACCGCCAGATTGACGAAAATCAACGGTTAAAATTTGGTGATAAGAGGTTATAAAACTTTTTGGTGGTAAATGGATCCCTCCTCATAAAATATACTATATCTTTTAAAGTTAAACGACATTGTTTCACTCAAAAGAGATAATATTTATTTCTTTAAAATAATAAACACTTCTTCCAATTACAAATCCTAATTTTTTTTTTCAGTTGCAGGCATAATTAATGATGGCGGTAATTACAATCCACAAATTTATGTTGTTTCTACATCTAAAACTAATTTGATCCCCAAAGTTCCTAAGCCAATGTATGTTTCTCAATTCAGGCCTATTTCTTTGTGTAATGTCATTTATAAGGGTATGAGCAAGATCATTGTGGATAGGCTTAAGCTTACAATGGAGAATTTAGTTTCTCCTTACCAAGTTAGCTTCGTGCCAAATCATCAGCTTCAGGATAATATTATAGTAGCAAAGGAGCTGGTTCATTCTATGGGGAGAGTAAAAGGAAAGAAAAGTACAATGGCAATCAAACTGGACCTTGAAAAAGCTTATGATAAACTCAGTTGGAGTTTTATCTATAAAGTGCTTATTGAAGTTCAGTTTCCTGATTGGATGATTGGTGTTATAATGGCTTCTATAACTTCTAATCGTTCGAGGGTCTTGATAAATGGTGTGGCTTCGGATTGCATAGTTCCTCAGAGAGGAATTCGTCAAGGGGATCCAATATCTCCTTATATTTTTGTGTTGTGTGTTGAGAAGCTTTCCCACTTGATCGCTGAAAAAGTGACTATGGGTTCGTGGAAGCCTATTAGAGTCTGCAGAAGAGGGCCGAGTGTATCCCACCTTTTATTTGCAGATGATATCATTCTCTTTGCGGAAGCAGATATGGAGCAAGCTAAGGTGATTATGGATTGTATTAATCTCTTTTGTGAGATGTCGGGGCAAAGTGTTAGTGCAAATAAATCTTTGATTTATTTTTCTCCGAATATTGATACTCAAGTTGCTACAAGGATTGTCAACAGAATGGGTTTTAAGCGCACTTCTAGTATTGGCAGATATTTAGGCTCTATTGTTAAACAAGGGAGATATATTAAAGCAGACTATGGAGCTATCAAGGATAGGATACGTTCAAAACTGGATGGTTGGAAAAGCCATTGCCTTTCTTTTGCTGGTCGAGTTACTTTGGTGAAATCGGTCATTGCTGCAATCCCTTCTTTCCATATGCAGAATGGTCTTTTACCAGTAACGTTTTGTGATGAAATTGAGCAGATACAAAGGGCTTTCATTTGGGGAGATCAGGATAGCAGAAGGCGGGCTCATTTAGTAGCTTGGGATCAAATGTATAAACCCAAAGATAGAGGTGGTTTGGGAATAATTAACCTTCGACTCCAAAATGAAGCTTATATTCATAAACTGGCGTGGAAGGTGTTAACTAAGAAAGATGATTTATGGGTTAAGATTTTAGTAGCCAAGTATGGTAGAGGTCAAGACTTAAGGAGAGGTATAAAGGCAAAATCATATGACTCTAAACTTTGGCGTGATCTTGCTAAATGTTGGAGTAATTTCCTTGCTGGTCCTAGATGGGAAATAACAGATGGTTCTGAAGTAAAGCTTTGGACTGATAACTGGTTGGGATGGGAGGAAAATTTGCAGCAGTTGTCGAGCAATCAGGTGCCGTGGGAGGAGAGTCAGAAATCAATTGCAGATTACATGGTGGATGATGGTTTCCGTCTTGAAGTTGTTCATCAATTTCTGGAGTCAGATTTGGCTGATGCAGTAACAAATCATCTCAGGCTTATTCCAAGGAATGGGGAGGATAGATTAGTTTGGATCAATAATCATCACTCAACTTCTTTGGTTAAGGTCGGTTACTGTAATCTTATGAACTTCCCAGCAGATGTTCACACTAGCTTATGGAAAAAAGTTTGGTCGTGGAATGGACCAGAACGAGTGAAAGTGTTTATGTGGATGACTTTGCTTGCTAAACTTTCAGTGCGCAGCAGAACCAGTAAGTGGAGCGGAGGTTCAAATGTCTGTCCCAGTTGTCCAAATCATGAGGAAACTATTATTCATGTTCTTCGTGATTGTAGACATGCTAGGAAAATTTGGCAATCTTGGTTTACAGGTTCGATACCCAATTCCTTTATGAATTCGAATTTGCAGGATTGGTTGACTTTAAATATCGATAACATGTGGTCCTCCAATAAAGTGAAGGACTGGAGGGATATTTTCTTTACTACTTGTTGGTTTTTGTGGAAGTGGAGAAATTTGGAGATCCATGAAGATCATCTCTGTCATGATGAGCAATCACAGGCTTCAATTTGGATGTTTGTCCAACAGATTCTGCAAGCCCGAATTTATCAGCGCCGTGGTGATTCCAACGATAGCGTTTGGACAGCCCCCAAGCAAGGGTGGGTTAAGTTGAATTGTGATGGAGCTTCTTCTAGTGGCATGAAAAGAGCTAGTTGTGGTGGTATATATTAAGAGATCACAATGGATCCTTTTTGGGAAGCTTCTATTGTAATTTAGGTTCCTGCAATCCTCTTGATGCAGAATTATGGGGATTACTGAAAGGTTTGGAACTGCTTTGGGGAACAGGATTAAAAAGAATAGAGCTAGAATGTGATTCTAGCCAAGCCATCCAGATGTTAAAGGAGCAGCATGAAGATCCTAGGGACTCTCAAGTCACTAGCAGATTGAGATTATGGTTAAAAGCAGATTGGACTATTCATCTTGTTCATACCAAGAGAGAAAACAACAAATGTGCTCATTGGTTAGCTAAAGCTGGGCAGACTAATAATCTCTATTTCAAGATTTTTAAAGATCCTCCTCCTCAGTTGATGGAACTTATAGTTGCTGATGCTAGAAATATGTTTAGCTTGTTAGTTTCTGATTTGTAATTTCTTTCTG